CCCCAAAACCCCAAAACCCCAAAACCCCGTAATTCTAAAATATTAGATATATTAAGTAGTTGGAAAATAAACAACATAATTAAGATTAATCTATAAACTTTGATTCTATTAGGTGTCTGCAAATTTACACATATATCGAAAATGTAGAGTCTAGCTCTGATTAACGCTGACTCATCGCAGTTGCTTTTAGATAGGCACGCCAGCTGCTTTTTGAAATTTCTTACTCTTGCTTGAGTTGAAAGAGGAATCAGCGCCTTCAAGATTTTATCCCTTTGGCTGGTGAATCGCTTTCTTTCTAGTTTCAATTAGATTTTCATTAGTTCTTTACTGCTAATCAGCAGTGTCCATATCCACTGACTCACATGACTCTTCGTAGTAGCTATAATCCTCCTCTTCGTTTTCCTACTCAAGAGGGTGCTTCTTTTGATCCGATCTCTTTAGATTTGGGTTGACTTCTTTCTTTACAATGTTAAGTTTACTGTCATTTTACTTCTCTTTAAGACTCCTATCTCTAAGTGCTTGATCCTCTGCTGATTACTTTACCATTACATTCTGTCTCTTTAATTTCTCAATCTCTTTTTGATCCACCATCTAGACTTTAGTGTTTACCTTCTCCTCTACAACATAAGGAGCCTAATCAAAATCTTCTTCGTCTGAATAAGCCTAGGCCTGGCTTTGATCTTCCTAATGTCCCTCATCTTCATCACTCTCATACTCATTACTGTCGTCATTTTGGTTTTAAATGTTTATATTTTAAGACCTGTCTTCCTGTTTCAAGATTTCCTTTTGAAGTTATGCTCCGTTAGCTTCAATTTGATTCTTTTATTGTTATAGTTGCTATTACTATTATTGTTACAATTTTAACAGCTACTATTATTATTACTGTTGTTGCTATTATTGCAGACTTGCCACTTACTACTACTGCTATTTCTGGCTCTCCTATACCTGTTTAAGCCTTTGATCAACTGGCACTTAATTACTCTTGACTCCTGCTTTCTCCTACACCTAAGTTTAGCTTTTCTGTAAATCCATTTTCTCTACCTTCAAACTATTGTTCCCCTTCTTCAGGCTATTGTCTTTGCCTCTGCCACTGTTTGCTTTCTCCTCGTCATCTTCGAAATCCAAATCTACTTCATCCTCCTGGATGGCCTTTATGTTAGTGTGCACACTGCTAGCTCTATTATTTGCAAAGCCACCTCCTTGCAGTGATAATCTGGGGTCAGCTTTGCCCCCAATAGAGGCTTGAGTCTTAGATTTCGACATTCGATTATGTATATCTTCCTTATCTAGGTCTTCAATTTGATCTTCATATTGCTTGCCTCTATTTTAATTTGGCAGTTTATTTGCAGCTTGTTAACCCTCTGGTTATTTAACTGGGCCACTGATTTGTTTTTGATTTCTGATGTAGACCATGAAAGTCAGATAGCCAGTTACAATCACTAGAGTTAGTACTGTGCATGCCACGAAAGCCCCTAAAGCTGATACTAGAGAGGTCTCATTTCCTCCTAATTACTTGGACATTGCAAAGAACTGACTGTAAGTGTCTGACAAAGATCTGAGTAAATTCGTGGATTGCGTAGTTTGATCCTGGTTAAGAAAAGTCTAGATTGACATTAATATTTAAATATACACAATTTTAACGTAATTCAATTTAAATTTTCAAATTTTACTTGCTATCTTTGTAATCGGGGTTTTGGGGTTTTGGGGTTTTGGGGTTTTGGGGTTTTGGGG